AGGGATGGCCTGTGGTGATTCTTTGCCTCATCCTATTAACCTTTTAGAAGCCATCAAATTCGAGTGCTGCGTTCCTATAGGGTGATCGGGCAATTGTGCTGCTTGCGATGGTGAGCAGATTTTGTGCCTGGGCTAACAAATATCCCTGATGCATTTGCAAAGCTGCTTAGAAGCCAGGCAGGAACTCTGCTCGGACTGATTCTTGCAAGGACAGATGGTAATGACCACAAAATTCATGTGTGGGGTCACTGCCTTCTTGCTTTACCTGTGGCAGGTTGGTCTTGAGGGAAGATGCCTTGTAGCTATACAACAGAGTTGTGTTAGCTTTTAGGAATGGGTTAGACAAGGACTTGGATGGGATGATCCTGCCTTGATTAGAGGGTTGGACCAGATTACCTCCTCAGGTCCCTTCCAGCCCTGCTTTTCTGATTCCTGGGGTTATGCTGGACTTGCACCATACTACTGTTCGTCTAGATGCAATCTGTGAGCTGCTTATCGTGTCAGTGCACCATCAGGGGTTTTGCACACTAAGGAAAAGCATGCTTCGGGGGGAGGGATGGGACAGACAGCAGTGCGTGCACTTGCTGAGAAGACTGTGATACCAGTGAAATAATTACTTTACCATGTTCTTGGCAAAGATGACTGAACACCAAAGGGCTGATGCACTATTTAACACACCAGCAGTGGTAGGGCCTGGGAGCGCCAGCCTTTGACCAAGACTCCACCATGCTCAGTGCTGTACAACACTGGAACAAAAAGCTTGGTCGGGCACCCTCTTCTTCCCCAACCTGCTCTAATCAGTGACTTCAGTTCAACCCTTAGGAGGAGTCAGATCTGTTGCCTGGCCCTTTCCTAGTGCAGCAATCCTAGGTGAGAAGAAAGGGAGACTAGGAAAGCCACGGATGATTTATTTTTGTTTTCTTTTCAGAACAGTTATGCCACAGGCGTAGCTGAACAGATAAGCACTAGGATGGAGCAAAGGACAGTGGTTCACAAGAGCCTTGGCACACGCAGTCTTCACCCCTCTCATCGTCTGAATAATCTGGCCCCCAAGAGTGCGTGGCTCCTAAGCTAGCGTTTCCATGTCCTGTGTCCTTCGGCTAGGTTACTGTTAATTAACAAGGCAGAGGCACAAACACACGTGAACGCAAAGAAGTAGGTTTTACCCTGGCTTGATTAATGCGGTTGAGTTGTACATCTGAGTGTGAGCTCAGTGGGACTGTTGCTTTTTGTTTAATACCACAAGACACCTCAGTCTGGATCATTGCATTACAGTACAAATAAAAAACAGAAACAAAACCACATCCGCATCGTACACGGTGGGAAGAAAATGAGAATCTAAATATTTACAGAGAAGTTTGGTGGGAAACCACAAAAATATTTACATAAAAATACATGAGCTTGTCGGCATATACATTTTACACCAATTCACAAAAAAAAAAAAAAAATGAACACAAAAATAAGACACTATATAAATTAAAGTGAAGGGAACTCTGAAGGTAACCCAAGGCTTTCTGGGTGCTTCGCTCATGCGGCTCCAGGCAAGAAAAATCAAGTTTTCTATAGCAGGGAAGTGAACTGCCAGACAACCCTTTCTTGTCCTTTTGTTTTGCACTAAAACTGTACAATGCAAGATTTCTCACACACAATGGGGGAACTGGGCACATATGTTTGAACTATGCCATGCCTTTCGCATCAGACTTCTGTAGCACAAGGTTCTGGAAAAAAGTCACATGCCTAAGCCACCTTTTTTGTGTGTTTGTGTGCGTGTCTGTGCGTTTGAACAAGAAAAGTCAAAACCACAATTTTGCATCCTCTGACATGTAAGAAGCTGCTTCAGTCAACGCTTTGTCAAGAGACTGATGGGACGGATGGCAGGGAACACACAAGGGGCTCTCCTTTCCATAGGTGAAGGGGAACAATACATTTTCAAGTTGGTTTTGGTTTGGGGTAGCAATTAGCTACAGCTGTGCAATCCTCACTGGCCTCCTCCCAACTAATAGGCGTAAACCCATTACCTCTGTAAAGACATAGGCACAAAGTATTTTCCTGTCATATATGCATATACATTTTAACCTGATCACTTTTTTTTTTTTTTCCTTAAAAAAAATTAAAGTTGAAACTAAAAGAGACTCTACGGGGCCTATCTTGACATCTATCCCCATGGGGCAAGATTGCTTTCTGGGCCAAATTCTGCTCCAAAGTTGGGGGTACAAACCCAGAGCAGAATTGGGCCCTACCTCTTACGTGAGGTAGAGAGAATTTCAGCTGAAAAATGCAGCAGGTGGGAACTGAAATGCAGGCAGTATTGCCATAACCCATGTATTGGAGACCTTTTATGTCAGTCGTGGAGCTGCTTGTCCCCCCTTGCTGGAGATGTGGTCAGACAATAGGGCTCCCACAGCTGAGCAGATTGGCGCTTGTTGATGCACTGTCTTCCTCACTGTTCCTCCCTAGCAGAGGTCTCCCTCCAAGTCCCATTTGCTCACAGAAAGCAGAGCTTTCTCCTGTGTGCCGTACCATATGCCATACCCAGCTCCTGCCTAGCCCAGGGCTAGATGGGACCTTTTAGAAAACCATGGGGATGAGCGGTAGCCAGCTAAACTATTTCCCCACTTCAGCTGCCTGCACAGGACTCGTATTTCCCCGAATACTGGGAGTTTTTCCAGGTCTGGCGGGGCAGACACCAGGTACCTTGATCTTTAATCAATGGGGAAGGGGACCCATTTCCTAAGGGGCATCAAGATCCAACACTAACCACAGGTCCAGAGCAGAACTGCATAGTTCACTATATGGCTTTCTTGTGGGGCTGGGGTGCAGGGTTTAAGAATGGCTTGAGCAGCTGGTCATCCTTTCAAGGAAGGGGCTTGGTCCAGGCTTCCTGAGCCTATTGCTTCAGGGGTCTTCACCCAATGCTGAACACAGGCAGGGCTAGCAGCCCTCTGCTCACATGCTGTTATGGCTGTGCACAGAGAGATCTGGCTGGGAAGAAGGAATGGAAGCAGCTAAACAACTAAGATCTCTGGACCAGGACAGAGCGCTTTCTGGACTCCACAGGGCTTGTTTCCATTTCTGTGAGCAACTCTTTATGAGTGAAGTGTCCCCTAGCCTAGCCAGTAGGGCAGCTGCACATTGTATGGCCTGAGGCCTGCAAGGTGCTAGGGGCCCTTGATACCCACTGAAGTCAATGGTGGTAGAGAGGGATCAGCACCAGGCACATGCTGGGCCTCTCTCAAGTGCAGAGGTTAGTGCTGTGAACTGCTAAGCAGGCTCAAAAGCCCTGGCCCTGTCTCTTGTTGCTGTTGCTCATAAGTCAGGGAAATGGTCTGGAGCTTTATACACTACCTTCAAGTCATGTGATGACTGCAGGCAAATCGAGAGGCATTTACAGAACTAGAGGGAGCTCAGTGGGGCTCTCTCACCAGGGGACAGTCCTGGTCATATAAGGCTAATACCAAAAGGTTAGGAGGGAGAATTAAGGCTTTCATGGAGAGAGAGGTTTGACCTGCAGCCCTCGTTACCTGAATCCCAAAGAGCCTGAACCAAATGCATTTGTCCTTGCCTCAACTCCAGAACAAGGGAGGCTGAACCTAAAGCAGCAGCCAGACGGCAGCTGTGGGGAATGGTAATGTTAGCCCTCATCCACTGACATCTTTAAAATATAAGCATACCTCTATGGAGCCTGTGTACGATATAGGCAAACTCCACCAGAATAGTGGGAAGGGGGGTTCAGCCTTTACTAGCTAGTAGCACAGACCAGATGGTCCACAACATAGTCCACGTCTCCATCTAAAGACCTTTTCCATGCTTTTTCCTTTTAGCAGCCCCCACCCCCCTGCCCACCCTCAAATCCCACTTCTTGAGTTACTCACAGGGTGAATGGGATCATGGTAACCTGGATCACAGTGTTTGTTGTTTCCTCACCAGATTTATTTCCATAACACTTAAGAACAACTCTATGTATGAAAAAACAATCTTTAAAACAATGCATCACACAACAAAATAGGACTAACAAGGTCCCATTAATGAAACAGGCCCAAACAAGGCAACAAGATCAAAAGGAAACAAATGGCTAACGACTGGTTAGCTACTAGCCATGGGGTGTTCCTCTGAGATGTGGTAAGTTCTTATTCCTACTTAAAAGCCAAAAATAGCAATGAACTCTTCTGTCTAAAGATCCAGTGTGAGCTATGCACCAGCTGTGGGACCTTTAAGAAAACCTCTGGGTGTTTTCTTAAAAAGGACACAACACCTTGGAGGTCCAAAGTAAGTAGTGCCATTTTTGACCAAGCAGAACAAGGAAAGGCCCCGCTGTCACAGCACATTAAAACTCCTACAATTCAGGTGCTGCTAGCAAGCCCTGGTTAACAAAATGCATGTGTCTTAGATGGGGCGGTTGCAGCGACTTTTGAGTCTTGGGAGTTCAAGCAGCTGCAGATCAGACATTGCTTCTTTTACAACACAGAAAGCTCTTTAAATACACAGGGCAACATTGCTGGAGTGTTTTATAGAGGTGTACTGGCCCTTTAGTCCCCACTGATGGCCGGAAAACTGGTGTGAACTACACTTGCAACAACAGAGGCAATACTATTTCACAGTGCACAGATAGCATTAACTACTCTGTACTTGCAGCAACTTCACAGGGGTTCCCTTGGTAATGCAGTACTATAGTTATGGAAGGCCATATCCCAGAGTCAATGGGAGTCTTCCCTGAACTAGGGACTGTGGGATTTGGCCCAGAGCAAATACCTGGTCATGCAGCTAACTTGGTGCTTATATAATCATTCCCAGCTGGTAACCTGTGCTCTACTTTACAAGCTGGACATAATCCTACAGTGACATTGTAAAGGGAGGGCATTATATGGCCAGCCACTCCTTGGAATTAAATGGTCTGGACCTTAGTCTATCAGTAAAGAGGAATTGTGAAATGCATGTGTTGTTCTCAAGGGCTGGGTGTGGCGGTGGGTGTGGGTTTTTCCTTTCAATGTTAGAAACACAGACCTGCCTCCCCCCAGCTACCAAAGCTGGTCTCCATTGTCAACAGGGAGATTAACATGGATACTTGAGTTCCTGCGGAAATCCTTTCTGTGGTCAGAAGCAGCTTGTCAAGTGAGTCTTTAAACGTCCTCCCCTGTATCCTACAATAGCACTTGCCTTCATCTGGGACCGATCCCACTTGCTGAAGTCGGCGGAGAGACTCCTGCTTGCTTCCAAATGCTGGGATTAAGCCCACTAGAGCATCAGGAATTGTCTGCAAGGCAACAAGCTGCTCTTTCCCCACAGCTTTTAGCACACGACTGATTTGCTGCTTCACCTGACAGGGGTCAGGACAGAGGCCCCCCCCCCCCCAGCATGCATCATTCAAACTACTCCTCTGAGGCCAGGAGCTGGGAACATGACCTCATTTGTTCCAGATTTACCAGAACTGCTGCACACGCCAGCACCTCACGCACAAGATGATGGCGGGGGTAGCGAGAGTGCTATGGCAGCCAAGTAACGTTAGACCAGGGGAGGAAAAACCCTTGGCCCCTTCCCCACCATGCCTCAGGTCTGCCCTCATGACTGGGTTGTCTCTTTACATGCCAACAGCCTGCAGGATCATGCCAACCTCTCAAACTACATGGAAAAAGCTGTACCTCTACTACATAAAAACAGTTAGTGGTGGGCTGGGGGCAGGGTTTGCTTTTGCTTATTGGGGAAGGGTTGGGGTTTTTTTGTTTTTTTTTTTTTTGTCACTGAAAAAATAGAACAGTCCACTGTCCAGCAGAGGCTGCTAAGACTCTATCCCTCCTTCCCCCAGCTCACTCAGCATGCACCTCTGTCTCCGGCCTCTGCAGACATAGATCTGTGGGGAGGAAGGCCCCCTGGCCCAAGGCTGTGGCATAAGTCCGACTGTGCGAATGGGGAAAGCTGGGGGGCGCAAAGCCCCCTCCTCCGACATAGCCCCCTCTTTGGTGCTGAGGCATGTTATGGTAATCCTCCAGGTTATCGTACTGGGACACCACTGTCATAGTGCTTTGGCGTTTGCCAAGGGTTTGGTATGGGTAGAGGAGGGCAGGGTCCCTCTCTATACTCTCTGGGTGCTGCATTCTGAGGCTGTGGCTCCGCTCTGGCTTGGGGGGTGGCGCCACAGGGGGGGCACGGTGCTCTTCCTCTTTATAGCAGTCTCTGGGGTGTTTCTCCACAGGAGCGGTCTGCCTGACTCGAGACCTTTCCAAATCTGGTCTGTCCTCTGCACCCCTCATCTCCTTGTGGTTCAGCCTCAGGGTCTCCTGGCTAGATGTGACGTACTTCCCACCTGAGTGCTGGTAGCTCAGGGGCTCAGAGCAGGGCTCCTGCCCACCCTTTGGCCGGTAGTCCGGATAAGGAGGGCCGTTTTTGGATTCTGAGGTCTGCCTATGGCTTGCTTCCTGCTGCAGGTGCGTCCTGTGCTCGGTGGCGCTGCAGCCTGTCTCATGCAACTTTCTGTTCCTAAAGCTGCTCTGCTTTTGAGGAAGGGAAGGCTTCTCCACCTGCCCGTTCCCATAGGTCCCATGGTAGTGAGCTCGGTCAGGCTCTGGCTCCACATGCTGCACATAGTAGCGCTCCTCCCCATCGGGGGTGGCTGCCTTGGCTGGGTACCTCCCTTCTTTCCCTTCAGCCACAGTCAGGAGACCAGTTTTCCCAGGATCTGATTTGCTGCGCAGGTGGAGGACATCCAGCCCCCCCAGTTCTTCTGGCAGCAGTGGGCCCACGTTGTCATACTGGGACATCACCGGCCCTTTCACTTTTTGACGCGTGCGGCTCTCGCGGCGAATGGACTGCATGCGGTACTTCTCCATGTCCTCCAGGTCCCAAGACATGTACACGTGCTTGATGTCTGGGGCAGGGGGCACATCTCTGCTAATAAAGCTGTGCTCTTTCCCTGCCAGGTGGCCGATGAGGCCTCCCTGAGGGTAGGCAGGCAGGCCGGGATTACGGTACAGAGTCTTGCTCTGAAGCCTGGAGGTGTACGAGGCAAAGTCTCGGCTAGGAAGGGGGTGGAACTGCCTGAGTCGCATGGTGCTGTAAGGGTCCAGGTCGTAGAAGCTCCCGTCTGCTGCAGTGTAGTAGGAGGAGCCAGCAGAGCTTGAATAAGGGCTATACCTGTAATGCACACGCCCATTCTCAAAGTATGGCTGCAGCTGGGTGACATGATAATCCGAGTGCGGCTGATATGGCTTGTATTGATAGAGGGGCCGTGGGCAATACGCTGCCTCGTCATCAGGTGGCACCTCTGTCCGTGAAATGGGCACGGAGCGGATAGTGGCAGTGGAGGCAGACGGGGTAGGGACATGCAGTGATTGCACCCTCCTGATAGTGGGGTAGGGAGGAGCCTCCTCAGTGTAGCTGGTGCTACGCATGGTGGTAGGGCTCATGGAGGACACGAATTCAGCCCGGCTTCGAGGCTTGGAGTGAAGGGCTGAGGTGCTCTTCCCTTGAGTGGCATAGGTGTTATACCGGGGGCCCATGGATGTAGGGGTTTCTGACCTAGAGGCGTAGGCTTGATGCTGGTCGGACTTGCTGTGGTAGGAGACATGTGGCGGGACGCTCTCAGGTCTGTACTGGTGGATGGAAGCTGGCTTGTGGTGCAGGTAATTCTCGGGGGCGGGGGGCTCAGGGGCACTCTCTGACTTGGAATGGGCGAGATACAAAGACTGCAGAGAGGCATGCTTGGGTGGGGGAGGCGGCGGCAAGGCATCCTCCATGGAGGAAGGCAGCATGGAGGAAACCAGGAAGGAATGGTAGTTGGAGCTGTTGACAGCATCAGCGTTGTTGGAGTGCATGGCTGCAGCAATTTTACTCTCCAGTGTTCTCACGGGTGGAACTGGGGGCGTGAAGCCATAGGAGGAGTGACCAGGGACCGACTCGGACCGAAGATGCAAAGCAGGAGCCCTCGTGTTCTCCCGGGGCTTTTCTAAGTGGCCCTGGTAGGACACGGGAGTGGACGAGGTACACCGGGGAGCACAGCTGCTTTCGGTGGTGAAAATGGGAGCAGGCTCAGCTACTCGAGGCTCAGGCGGCTTTTCTGGAGCTACTGCTCCACGTACCTGGTAGGGAAACATCACAGGCAGATGTCAGCAGCAAGCACCAGCAGTACATACTCCGCACCTGTAGGCCTGGCTCTGTGAAAACTCCCTTGCCTACAATGCAGCCCAAGTCTCGTGATAGACTGCAGAGCACTGTCTTGAAATAAAGAGAGCGTGTGAATGCAAATCTATGTCTGTCTTGATAACTGAAACAAATGCTGTCTTTTCAGAGAGACTGAAGTGAACTTTGGGACCAACTGAAATTTGCACCATTTCCCCAGGCTCAGAGGGGGGCTGTCAGACAGGCTGGTACATGTTACAATCATGAGAACAGAAAGAAAGCAACAAACTGGAGAGATGGTAGCTGTCAGCACATCACAACTTTTATATAAGCTGGTGCTTAGAAACCACAGATGTGGCCTGGAGCACTTGATGGTGTTTTTTTTTGTTTTTTTTTTATAAGGAGTAGTAGAGTTACTTTTAGCAGAAATGCACTTTGATTTTACATTTGTGCAGCTCTGAGCATGGTTTAATGAATGCATAATCCACCATGGCATTACACTAACAACTTCCTCTGAACTGATACCACCACTCAATGTCTAATACAATCAGAGTGTAGGGGGGGTGTCAACATAGTTAATGTGTCATTGTGGTTCAGTTGGCAGAAGGTAGAAACCAGGATATTATATAAGCCCGAATCCTACACCAGGAATTAGGGAACTGCTCACTAAAAGTGTAAGGTGTCCACTTCTGACGGAAGCTTTGAGAGCTCTAAATTAGCGTTCCCAGCATCAGTCCTCCCATAGTTGTTTCTAAGACACCAAAGAGATGTTTCTGAATTCAAACCTGTCTCTGATTTCCCAGTAGCACAGTTAAATAGCGCATTTCCCTACAGTCGCCATGTTACAAGAACCAAATCTGTCTCTTAAAAATACTTTGCATTATGTTAGGATCTAAGAGCAATGGGGCGGCATTCTATTAATCTAGGGAACTTTCACGCTCGTGTCAAAGGAAAAGCACGGTAGGTTTTTGCAAAGTTATAAGTGAACACAACAGGAAATTCGGTGTGTGCATGCCTGTGTGTTATATATTCCTTGTAATTTGTGGAACCCCCCCGCACTCCCTGGCTTTTGGAACAGAAAGTGTGTGCTTCCCTTGCTGCTCTCTGGTCTAGACTACCTCCCTCAGCTTTTCCCTCTGGCGCTATAGTTTTATCTATGCACGGTATGTATAAATGTACTAGGTGCTGGGTGTATGAGCCCCCACTTACATGGTTGGAACTACTTGGTCCTTTAGTGGTTGCTGCTGGAACTTGTCCCATTGCCGGCTGGTGGTCTCCTGGCCTCTGAGATAAAACTGCTTGGCTGGTTGTTAGAGTGCGCTGAGTCGTGGTGACAATAATGTCTGCCTGGGTGGTGGGTTCAACACCAGCAAGCTGACCAGCTGTTCCATGCCCTGCTGTGGTTGCTGGTGTCTGAATAGTTGTAACATATGTCATTGTAGCCATAGTGATATTCTCTCCAGTTACAGAAGAAAGCTGAAATCTGTCTTCAGCTGCGCAGCTAGGGATGTGGTTTTTGTCCACAGGTACGCAGGTACGCAGATGGGACTTGTCTGTAGGCACATCTGTTGCAGATGGTTCCTGGTCAAGTAGTATGCCTAAATGGGGGTGAACGTGGTCCCGATCCCTGAGCTGGGAGGGGAAGAGATCCTTGTCCCCCATTACAGTATGGAAGGCGAAGTGGTCCCGCTCTGTGTCTTTGCCACTAGGTGCATCCCCAGGCATGCTGGTATGGAGGTGTGAGTGATGGTCTTGGTTTCCAGATGTGCCTGAATGCAAATGGTTATGATCCCCAGGTGTGCCACTACTGTGGAGATCCTTGTCTACCGGTGCCCCATTCTGGAAGCAATCTCCAGATGCACCAGTCTGGAAGTGGAGCCTGTTCTCAGCCACACCAGTGTAAAGATGCAGCTTGTCCGGGGCAGCACCAGCACAGAGGTGGAGCTTTTCTAGAGCTGTACCAGTTTCAGTCTCTCCGTAATTTGCACAGTCAGAATGAGCCTCCCCTGGCTTCTTCTGGGATTGAGCAGAAGCCTGCTGTGCAGACTCCGCTAATGCTAGGGCTAGCATACGCGCTGCATTTTTTGGAGGAGGAGGAGGGATCAGAGACACAGAACTGACAGGAACGGGATCCTGAGGGGAGTCGAGGGCAACCGCTCCTGAAATGAGACACAAAATTCAGAGAGAGAGAGGGAGGAGGGGCAAGGAAGGAATGGGGCAGGGGAGAGGTGGGGGAGAGAGAGAGAGAGAGAGACGGATGAATCCCAGCAAGGACAGCAGCCTTTAACTATCATTATAAAAACAAATGCTATTCACGTGCACAAAGTGTGGAAGAGTTAAGTAAAACACTATGAATATGGACACATGGACAGCAATGAAGCAGCATTCAAGTTGGAGCAATTTTGCTGTATTTGCTATATTTGTAATATTCCCAGCTTGTCCAGCGTGCCCAGTTTGTCCACATGTAACATGCAACTGTTAGAACTTAACAGCTGCTGAGCAGTTCTGAGCCCCCGCAGCCCCCCTTGAAAATGGCTCCAAATGCGCATGTATCCATATCTGTAATCTTCTACTGCACATAGAAATGCTGCAAGAAAACAAGATCCTCTAAAGGATTCTCTTATATTTCAACAGTTAGGAAGCAGGTATTGCAGAGAACGTGACCCTTATACTTTTTGCCCCAAAAGCTTGTGTTTTAAATGTATCTTGGGCCTAGGCCTATGACATTTCCTTGCAAAATATTTAAGTCGTATTCAAGAGGTGTGTGATGTAGGGGAAGGCAGAAAGATTTCTAGTAAGAAGTTTGTAATTTGCCCCACCCCAAAGAGGGCCTGCAGCCAAAATTTGGCAAGCGTTCCCCTCTCCTAAAGGGCAGGCAAAGAAGTCTGAGAGCAAGTCCCGCTGGAACATAAAGAAAGAAAGGAGGAGAGGTCACTGTACCTGGCTGAGCGTGTCCTGAGGGTGCAGTCTTATTCTGACTGACTGGCATTGGTTTTGCCCCTTCATCTGGCAACTCTGGTTTGCCAGCAGCCACTTGGGTGTGTACCTCTGGATGGCATCCTTCATTTGCTCCCATCTCGCTGGCTTTCAGTGGCAAGGATATCTGGGTTGGAGACCTGTTGGTGGCTTCATTGATACTGATCCCCTTGCTCCAGTTTGGAGAAGTGGTATTCCCTGCTGTGTGGGGCACCCCTCCAATCACTTCTGACACCCGGTTGGGCAGTGTAAATGAGACTGGCTCCGATATAGTCAGCGGTGGAGACTTGAGTGGCTTTCGCCCCAGTTTAGGTGAGAAGGCATGGGCAACTTTCTCAGAGAATGAGAGAGGCTTACAGGCCTTCTCCTCAGTTGGACTCATGTCCAGCGTGAAAAAGGGGCTCATCTTCTCTTGGAGCGGGGAGACTGGTTCAGAGCTTGTGGCGCTGCCAGGGGTCTGAGATTGACTGCCAGACTCCAAATCCCTCTTCCCTGCACTTGGCTTGTCCTTGCTGATGCCCACTGACTCCAGCATGGAAGTACTGCTATCCAGGCACTCAGACTCTGCCTGGGGTGGGCTACACTGAAAAGACATGGGGTCAAAATCCAGGCTGGCTACTCCAATCTCTGGTGGGCTCAGGTCAACATCTTCAGCAGATCGAGGAGAGATGAGGGCAGGAACATGAATCAGCCCCTCATCCCCATCACTCTCATCATGGGGCAAATTATCATAGGAATTGCAGCGGTTCATGTTTCCCAGGAGTTCCCCGTTAAAGGAAGCAGACAACGCATCACTGCTGGATCGGGGTCTTCTGGGCCGGAACAGCTTGGATTCACCTAGCCATAAATAAGTACAGAAGCATTAAACAGCACTAGATAAAAGTGCAAGAGACAGCTACTTACTAGCTAGTTCTGTTGATCTATTTTAAAACAATGGGCAGAGTAACAGAAATAGTAATAATAAGCCAGTTAAGTTAACTCGGTTTAAAGGATTTGGCACCTCTTTTCCTTTAGCACTTGATTTGAATGCATCAACATTAAACTAAGTCCTGTTTCTGGATCAAGCTGTTTTTAAGCAGTTTATTCTGCAATGAGCTAATTGCAAATGTGCCCAGGACCCAGCATGGTCTAGACCAGAAAAATAATGCTTCTTTGGAGAATTCCCTCTCCTTCCAGCGCCCCTTTTAGGCACAGAAAGCAGGAAGGGGCCAAGGAAGTAAATGTTAGCATGTGCAGATCTGATCAGAAATGCTGGATATGGGAAAACAGGATGTGTTCATTTCATTTTATTTGAGAGCTGAAGAGTTAAAAAAAGATCGCTGAAGTGCACTGGCCTGGTATCCAGACAGCAGCAGCAAGCAATTGTAATCCATTACTCCTTTATCAGTTACTTAAAAAGCATCACGGCTCTTAATTTTGGAGAACAGTTAAGGTTACACTGAGCTTTCCATTTAATGCATGTGAACATATTTCACTGCCCAGACCCCTGCTTTTAGTCAGCTCTTTCCTAACAGAAGAGATTTGGAGAGGTCACCCTGTTTTTCCTTCACCGAATGCTTTCATTCGATAGTGATGGGCAGCATTATAGAAACCCTTATGTTGTAATTCTTTTAAACTCAGTTTAATCCTATTCAATTTGTGCTCTATAAAGACCAGAAAAGAATTTACATGCAGAAACATACTAAGTTGTTTCTTGTGTCTGTTTTATAGTCAGTCCATGCATCCTGGATGGTACATACTGCTTTTTTCCTCATTCTGAAAACCAAATCCAGTGAGTTTTTCCCTAGATTGTATAAAGTTGCTTTACTCCCTTTGCTATTCCACCCTCTGAAATAACTGGGGTTTTTTTGTTGTTGTTTTTGTTTTTTTTTTTTAACATACAGCATGTCTAAGGCTTTTCCCACATTTTTCTTATGTGTTTAAAATTGCCTATAAAAAGTAACTTGGTCCAACCTACAGCTGAGCTTTGGTTTGCCTGCAATGGGTTTATTCTCATGCCTTTTAGTGTTGTATTGAAATCCAAGGAGAAAGCACCCTGGATTTAACATGATCTCTTGTCAGCTAGGTGCTCTAATTCATTATGCAGTTGTACTAGCTCCTTCACAAAGTGTATGACCAAAGCTTGGTTCCCTCGCGCTATAAAACAATGCCAACATCCACCAGTGACGTCTGGCGACATCTGCAGTGCTAAGTTGCCGATAGTTAAAACTATGCGTGCAAAAATGGAACAGGATATTGGAGAAATAATAGTTAATAATCGCTGAAATATAATCAGAAAAGAATTAGCAGAACAAGGGGCAACCTGTTTGGCAATAGGATGCCTGGGGAATGCTAGCTCTCTATAAAGAATTGTAGCAGAGAAGCCGCAGAACTTATTTGTAGGCATTCCCATCTATGTTATCAAGTGCCAAGAATATTAATGGTCTCACATAGGTGTTCCTGCTGCCTTGGTTTAATTACCCCACCCTCAGAAAACAACTGTATTTCCATCTTACCATCAACAGCATGCAGAGATGTGAGAGACTCCTCACTTTTAGCCGAGCGGAGCGTTCCGCTGTCTCCTCTTCCCCCTGAAGAGCCAAAATCGAGACTGAGAAGTTGTTTGCAGTCTGCCATGTGCTCCCAGGATGAGGACACAAATGGGCTCATGACATCGGTACCATGCTCTTAATAACATTTGGCTTTTCTAACATCCTCCAGTCACAGAGAGAAGTGGCATCCAGCATCATGCTGCCACTGCCTCAGGCTACTAGGCAAGAGAACTTTATAAGCTCTCAGCACCTACTGAGATTAGTCTTTAGCATCTACATCCCAGACAGAGAAAATGAGATACCAGACAAGAGATACTAACTGTCAGAAGGGCAGGTGTGTGCTGAGGAGTACCCTAGCCACAGCTCCCTCCTAGCTGAAAAAATACCAATAGCTCCAGGGATCTTTGGTGTAGATGAGGATCCTTACCTCTGTCCCCTCTCTTCCAGCAGTCTCAGAGGGCCCCCCTTTACTTCCCTCAATCCAAAGGATGCCTCTGCCATTATTATATGAATGTTACGGCTTCTCTGTGATGCTAGCCTGACACAAAAGTAGTTTGTAGCAGAGAAGATCCTGGGCCATACATTTTAAGGGTTCTGAATAAGCCTTAACTATAGACTCAAGGCTTTGCGGAAGTTTGGTATTTTTGAGTCCACCTTGTCATGACATTGGTCCAAGGTCATACTGGGACTTTTGTGCCTGGTCTCAAACTTCATTTTGTATTAGGAAAAAAAAAATCAATGTCACAGTCTCCAGGAAATCTGAGTTGGTCTTTTTTTGAAATGTTAATTTAAGAGGATCTGGACAGAAATGCTCACAAACCTCTCTCATGTAGTTCTTTTGCAAAAGATAGGAATATTCCTAAGGTTGTAATATATGTAGAAATATGCATGGTGTGTCTACAGGGAGAAGCTGACTGGCACTGCTCTACCATCCCTGTGTGGGCATTCATTGTGTACTAAAGATACCCATTTCCAGTTCAGCTTGTACCAGTAAAAGCTGAACCTGCAAACAGCATCCTAACTCAGCAGTGAAACTCTATAGGGGCAGAGTTATGAGGTACAGGTAAAACAGCAACGCCAGTACAGTTTCTTGGGTAGAAAAACCTTTGACAGTCAGCCCTGCGTGTTGTGAGTTAACAAGAGTGTAGCTGTTTTGCTATTTTTGTAACGCAACAGCCCTGGATTGGGACTGAACCTGCAGCCCCTGGCTTTAAAAGCATGACTGTGTGCTGAAGAGCCCACATCTGACTACTGAAAGGCTCGGGCTTCAGTTCCTGGACTAAACGCAAGAGGGGGATAGAGCCATACTGCAAGCCCAGGTCAGGCTTTTGTGGGGGTCTCACCAGCCAGGGCGATGGCTTTCATCTCAGAGGGCTCACTTGGGTTGCGCTGCAGCTTGCGCTTGGACACAGAAGACGATTTGCCCAGGTTGAAGAAGGAGCGCCAGCTACCCACTGGGGACTTCTTCATCTTGTTGGGTGGTCTTTTTCTGGAGTGACAGAATAGGGGGTGGGGGGAAGAAGGGTTTACATTCAGGGCACACTGCCAGTTGCTATATCCTAAATGCCAAGCCCAATTCCCTCCGAGCTGGGTGCTGGAACGAGGCTTAGCACATCTGACATGGGCCTCTTTCAGCAGCGAAGGGCATTGGCACTCCCCTGCCTGGACAGGTGCAGCCTGAAGTTCATTAAACCTCACTGAGCTCCTGCCTAAAGGACTCGTTCTCTGCTTGCCTGCAGCAGAGCAATACACAAGGCCTGAATAAGAGTCCTCTCCTACAGGCAACTGTCTGTCTGTGCATTTCAACTTATGTAACTAGGCTTTGTTTTAACCATTTTGGACGTTTACAGAGGTAGGATTGTGGTTGACACCTAAGCACAAATGACTTAGTGTGCACATATGCATACTTAATGCAAGGAGCTTGGCTTTATAGATTTAACTATGTCTTGAATAGGGGGGAAAAAATTGCACAGCCAATTTACTGCAGCTGAATTTACCCCTCAGACATCTATGGATGTCTTGCTACATTCTTAAAAGGACAGAACAGCCTGATTCCCAGTGGGAGTGGGAGCTTGGCTATGATCCTGTATACATTGTTCATATAAGCAATGCCCTCTAAGGTCATAGAATCATAGAAGTCGGGTCAGAAGAGACCTTGTAGATCTTCAAGTCCGACCCCCTGCCTGGGCAGGAGAAAAGCTGGGCTCAGATGACTCCGGCCAGGTAGGCATCAAGCCTCCTCTTAAAGACCCCCAGGGTAGGAGCCAGCCCCACTTCCCTTGGAAGTTGGTTCCAGATCCTAGCCACCCTAACTGTGAAGTACTTCTTACGGATGTCTAATCTAAACCTACTCTCCAACAACTTGTGGCCGTTATTCCTTGTTATGCCAGGGGGTGCT